GGGAAGTAGAGTGAGTTTGGAAATGCTACAACGTGAGTTTGGAAAAGCTACTTCCAAAAGGCACAGTCTAAGAGTGCCATGTGTGTTGTGATATGGATCAGTACTGTTCAACTTTCCAGTCCCATAGCTGAGTGAGTGGTTCAAAGTTAGTTTGCAGACAAGTCCATGGGCCTGATCCAATGCAGGGCCGGCACGCAGGGTTGGGCCACAGGTGAAATCTGGCACACCAACCCAGCCATGAACACCAGATTCAGCTCTGGAGTGACCTTGCCACATACCAGTGCAATCTAGTATGCAGGGCCACATCATCTAACCCACTTGGGGTCCCAGGGGTCTCAAAATTTAGCAGCAATGGAGCTGCAATTAATGTTTCCACCAGCCAAATTTTCAGACCCATGGGGAGATCCCTGGGCCAGATCACATGACTTGTGACCTAGATCTGGCCTGCCAGCTGAAGGTTAAGTACCACCAATATAGACACACATCCATGAAGCTCAAAGCCATTGCCTATAAACCAGCAAATGGCAATGCGAGAAACACAGGCCCAAATTTGAGTTGGGCTGGGAAAGTTTTAATTACAACAAAACATTATATGGTGAAAATGTAAAAGTAGATACTGTTGTGGGGTCAAAAGCCAACAGAGTAATTAGAAGATGTCCAATTCTTTGTAAATGAAAAGTTCAGAACATTTTAATAAATGCTGATAAAACTGAAGTAAATGCAAAAGGAGAATAAAAACATGGAGAGATGGGTAGATGATTAGATATTCTCAAAAAGATTACTTTTACTATTTGTGGTTCTCATGTCTGCTACCTCAGCCCAAGGGTTTTCCTGTCATGAACCTCTTAGATTCTGGAAGAACATCTGATCTGGTTCAGTGTAGCAAACCTGGCAGAAGCACAGATCATTTGATGAAGAACTTTCCAGCCTGACCTAAGGCCTAAAAGACTGCCCTGTGTGAGAGGACCTCAAACACTTGGATTCAGGTAAGAGACTTAAAAGCCACAAATGGGAAATGATCCCTACAAAAGCAAAGAACAAGTAGAAGGCATAGGTTCTCTTGCTTTCTCATGCATCAATAATATCTGAATCCATATGCTTCTCCCTTTTTGTGGCAAGCTATCTGAAAGAAGAAGAGGTAAAAGACTTGGGTTTATCAGCAAAGCAATCCACACCAGCGTGATGATCTGGCCCTTAATTCTTAACAACACTTCCATCCCTGAGGTACCTTACCTATGTTGGTCTGAGCCCTGGTTAGAGTCTTTGACTGAAGAAAACTGTTTTCTTAAATTTTCCCAAGGTAAAATTAACCCAAAATAATTTATCTTTGATTTCATGGCTTGGATTACAAGCTGCATTAGTTTTGTTCTTTAATCAGTCAAATGCATTGATCTATTAATTCTTAATGATGACTTCAGTGTAGGGCTGCACTGATAAAGATTTTCTTGACTGATGCTTATAGTCGATTATTAACCAGCCACATTGGCTGATGACAATGTGAAAACTGATATTTAGTAATAATGCAAAGCATTTTAAAGTACTGACATAAATAGCCCTTTTTTTTTTTGGCACATTCCAGCAACCTCCTGCATTGCATCATTCAGTGTCCTAGTGCTTAAGCACTCAGTGTCCTAGTGGTGGGGGTGCTTGAGCTAAAGGCTCATCAAACAAGCAGCTTGGCAGCAAGAGGCACAACTCGCCACCCCACAGCTGCCAGGCGGACAAGGGGAAACCCACCATTTGTTGAGGGAAACCAAGCATCTGGGAGCTCTGGCCCCATGGGGGAAAGGGAACCCAGGTGTTCAGAACCCTGGCCAGAATGCATAATTATCGGTAAACATTATTGGCTACAATGGCCAAAAAAAGCCAATAATGTCACTTTATCAGTGCAACCAATATATCAGTGCACCTCTACTTTAATGTTGTATTATTCCATCTTTACTATTAGTATATTAGCTTGTATTAAGTAGACATATGTTTGCTTATCCTTTTTTAATAAGTCCATAAAATACACAAAATGAATTTATTCCGCTTTATTCTGCTAAGCTGCAATGGGGTCATGAACTCTGAGGGCACAGACAACCTCATATAAGAATCTAAAAAATGGTTACCTCTGTTTCTGAATTAACACCTCAGTCCCTCAGTAAAAATTTGGCAATTATTATTGTCAGATTGACTTCAACTAACTATATATTTAATTTTATTTTCAGTTTATGTAGTATGTAATTTTTCCAGAAATTACAATCAGACATGGCCATATTTCAAACCAAACTGAGAAAAAAAAGTTCCTTTTTACTAGGTAAACTATGATTTTTTTCCTGCCTTCAGGCTATGGATAAGGGACTGGAAATAAAATATTTAAGTCTATGAAAAAAATTCTTAATTCATTCCCAGCCCAGCATAACAAGGAGCTAGACAAATTTTCTTAACACACATTAAAAAGACAGTTCTTGTAAGATTTCCAGACCAAAGAGGTTTGGATTAAGTACATGAGCCAAACCTCTAAATCCTTTGAGGTTTGTCCATTGCTCATTAGTACCTATGTCCTGAGGGCATAGAAGATTTCTTGTGATACCTCCAGAGAAAACAAGCATTAAAATGTGAAAACATACTTACTTGTTAAACCACAATGGCTCAAAAAGATAAAAAGCCCACACATTACAACCAGGCACATGGACTGCCTCTCAGGTAATCTACTCGCCAGCAAACTTGTGAGCTGAAGACATTAAGAATTAAAACACTACAGAGTAAGACTGCAAACACAGGTGCACACAGTCTTGCACAGGAAAAGATCGTGGTGCAAACGAATCTTTTTCCTACTCTGTCTCCCATGCGCACACACATGCATATACATTTGTATCACCAAAATCCCATCCCCTGTCCTTCATAACACTTTCCCTGCCCCCTGCTTTCTGACCTCTTATCAGTTTTCACCTACGGCACCCGTTCTGTTCCCCTTTGTTTCTGTATGCTTTAGCAGCAGCCTTAATGAAACTGACTAGAATCATGACTGCTGAAGCACCCTGCATAGGCATTTCAGAGACCTGGCTTCTAATCAATTTCACTATCATTCTGCTGTTAGTGAACACATTGTGACATGGCAAACATAGAGTTAAAGTATAGGTTAATGTGATTCACCAGTTTAGATGATTCACTTTAGTCTTGTGTAAAGAGGGCCTTATGCCTTAAAATACCACTTTCACAAGATACAACCAAGTGCCAAAGACTTATCCAGATCCATGTGAATTATAGATATACAATTTGCTTTTCTTTCTTAAGTGTCCTTGTAGTCTCCAGAAATAGCAATTTAGAACAACTCCTCCATACGCAAGCGTCTCAGAACACATGTATATACCTTCAAAGCACCTTTGCAAGAATTAAAATAAAACCTCACTTAAAATCAAATGGTATCTCTTGCCATCAGTGGAGGACAAAAATAGGTTATATTCATTTTTTATATAATTGTATCAACTTTACTGGATTTATTTGCTCCACTGTTTTTAAATTCTGTGTTCAAATTCTGTGTTCAGCAATTAGGCTTTAAACTTAAACTAGCACACACTTTAAGGTTAACAGCTGAAATAGTCATTTACATCATCATACCTAAGGACCCAGTAGTTACTGGAATGGTTGATACAGAATCTGTGCTGTAAAACCTCAAAGCACTCAAGTTGAAGGAAGATATGAAATACTTGTATTTGGGATTTAAATCAGATGTTTTTAATGCCAGTGCTGGGTCATTTCAAGGTACGCACAGCTAAATAAAAAAAAGTGCAATATATGTACACAAAACCAACTGGAAACCATCCGTTCAATTATTCTAATTTTTAAAATTGTACCTGTCAGCCCTGTACCTGCACAGTCTGAAAAAACCCACATATTTAAGTATATTGTAATTCATGCTGAAAATAAACATGTATATCATTCTTCTAATCTTACAATGATGTATATCTGCTACTATGACTAAGCCTTTGTTTCTCAAATAAAGTTCTGGTAAACTTAGCAGCAGGGGAGTTGAAATCAACGCAAAAGAAAAAGGTTTGATGGTGTGCCAGTGTACAATGGAAGGAAATTCAATAACAAGCTGCAGAGACAGTGGGCTTTTATCAGACACATTTAAAAGTGGTGGTGGCTACACGTCAATGCTGGACCAGAGTGTACTGCAGAGAGCGACTGAGTGTTTTCCCCACAGGCAATACACTATTATTGACTCCCCCCATTAACATGTAGGGTGGATATACATTTATTGAAGGTTCTAATGGAAGGCTGAGGGACTCCTATCCTGAGGCCAGAGCAGAAAGACAGCCTATCACTTCATGTAATGGTAGCCCGTGTGTGACAGACCTGACCTACATTTCCCCCTTTCTTTCTCACAACAGCCTGTCGCTGTTTTAAGAAGCTATTTTCTGAGATGTATAAAAAGAAATGCATGCTGGAGCTGCCTAGTTAATGTGTTTTACTGGAATATTATTTATAAACCTGCTTCATAAAGAGTCGCTTAAACTAGAGATGAATTATGAAAGCTGCCCTAAAACAAAACACATGCTTCTTAGACAAAAAAAAAAGATACATAATGATTTTGAAATGCTCATAAAACCATACAGTATACTGGACCTTAGAAGTAAATTACTCAAAAACTTACGCCTAAAATGCTGCAACAAAATGTAGCATAGGGCATTACTTGAAATCATTAAGACCATTTACCAAAGCTGCTTTAATATTGTCTTCAATGACTGCAAATGCAGTCTAAATTCCATATTCATTAAAATTATTAGAAGCAATGCTACTTAATGTTTTGTTGAAAGTAATTTAGTATTCTTTACTGGATAATTGTCTGTGCTAATCAATATAAACAATGTATCCAGAAAATGAAAGTAGGACGAGGGAAGAGAACATTTTACTGCAGAAACAAATAGCATTTTAAAATACCATCTAACTACTACTCCAGCCCTTGTTTTACAGAGCTGCTGCCACTACAGCACTCCTTGGCAGGAACCTACCACGCCGCTGCAGGTCATACTCTTTTTTTGTCTCTTCATTCCCTAGAATTTTCCACGCTTGATCAATTTCGATGAACCTCTGCACACGCTCCTCCACTTCTCCTGCTGGCACATCTGCGCTCTGTTTATCTGGATGATACTGCCAATCAAAAAGAAAAAGAAAAGTTGGTGGCGGTGGGGAGAGGGGTGAGGGGAAAAATCGATAGTAAATGTGATATTCAGTTACAGGGAGGGGGACAAGAAGGTTTGAAAGAAGGTGCCAAGGAAAATGAGATGACTGTTGCACACAGGAGATTACTGCCAGGTTAATTAGACCACTGGAATAGTAGCAATCCACCAGTGGCATAAATGTCACAATGTGCAGTGACAACATTTTCTGGATAATTTGCTGATGGAATCATTGGTCCTATGGACAATTTACTTAGAGAGACTGACTAATGCAAACAGAAATAGGTGCACAGAAAGGAATACAACATGGGAAAAATGGGAGATATTTTAGGTAAAAGCAGCTTTTTCTTTAATACTACATCTAGCTACATTTCCAGCTGGGGACCACTGTTTAGTCAAAGCCTAATCACAAATAAATTGAATGCTTTATTATACACATCTCATCTTTACCCTTTAAAAGGTAAACAGAATATGTAAAATCAAATATATATTGCAATATATATGTATATCTATTTTGGAAACTATGCCTCAACATCTTTAATTTTTTTTCAGTTCAGTGAATCAATAGCCCTTCCAAATATTTAAAGTCATGGATCACTGGCTTCAAAATTTTGTGTCATTCTAGTTAGGAAGTGATTATCTGAAGACAAGATTGTAGGATAAACCATGTATAAAGACAGAAAAATGAAAATACTTACTTTAAATGAAAGAAAATCCCTAAAAAAAATTCAGTGGACTCTCTTTTTATTCCTTGCTATAGTTTAACTTACTTGTAAGGAATATATTTTCAATTTTTGATACTTCGATGCTTCATATAGCACATATACACCTGAAAAGCGGCAACTAGAGGGAGCACCTGGGGAAAGAATGAGTTACAGCCATGCAAGAATTGTTATCTGTTAATTCAGTGAGTTATATTTCAAAATACTCTTCATCTACTTATTTTTCCTACATCCTGGATTTAATTTCTGCCCTCTATGCCAGCACACAGAAGAGCCTACTGTGGTTATTGTGACTTGGAAGGCCTTTGGCACAAGGGAATACTACAGAGTAGAATTTTGAAAAAATGCTTCTCTTTACAAAGAGGTATTTGTTTTAATTTATTGTTCATTTTGGAAAGAACAATGTGGGTGTAGTGTGAGCTTAAAACAATTACCTCCCCCTTCTTCACAGACAGTTTTATACTACAAATTCAAAAGGACTACTGCTACTGGAGTCTGTTTGTTCACTGATTCATGTAACTATCATTTGAATTTATGAGATTTATCTGAATAATCTCCCAAACCATAGCAGGAGAACAGACCCTAAGGGCAAAAAGTCTAAAACCTCAAACTTTTTACACCCGTTTTCTACACTCACATGGTTGTGCATGCAAAAATGGTTGCTCACACAAGTTGTGAACTCAAGTATTTAGTACATGTGCATATGTTGGCTGCATGGGTCTATGCCCTTGAAGTCAGTGTTGCATTCAAAAGTAGGGACCAGCTTGACAGTTGCTGAAAATAAAGCCCAGGCATAGGTGTGGTAGAACCCAAATTCTGACTTAGGCATCATGCAAGTTGGAAATTTTTGGCAACAACATTTAGGCCTTGAACAGGTGTTCACTTCTAGCAATGGACAATTTGAGAAATGTCTACCAATACCAATGGCCAGAGATGATCTGAGCAGGATGTGGCGCCCCACCCCTGGATGCAAGGAAATCGGCGGCTGATTCAGCGGGAGGGCAGGGGGGGTGCTGAGTGGCCAGATGTGAAGCTGGTGGCAGTGCAGAGTTGCCAACGCCACTCCACCTGGCTCCGTGGGGCCCTCCAAAGCATGGGGCCTGGGGCAGTTGCCCCAATTTGCCCCCCACAGGGACGGCCCTGTTGATGGCCTATTATTAATGAGCCATATCAGCCGATACCAATCTAACTGCTGATATGCAAGCCTGGCAGCTTGGAGAGCAGTACCCACCTGGTAAGTCTGTTGGGGGAAAGGGGCATGGGGGATGATTATCGAGGCTCCCATGGTGAGGGATGGAGCAGAGCAGAAGCTAAGGTTGGGACAGAGGCAGGCGCCATCCAGCCAGGACAGGGCAGGACATGGGACAGAGCCTTAAGTGTTTTGTCTGGGGAGTGCGAGGAATGCGGGGGGTGGCTCCCACCACTGTGCGCACCCCTGGGGGAGGTAAGGGGGGGCATGTGCCCCCCGGATCTGTGTGCAGGGTGAGGGCAGGCTGCTTCTGCGGGCTGGTGCCAGGGCCAGGCTCTTCTCAGTGAGGGAGTTGGGCCGGGGATGCACTTGGGTTGGGTGCAGTGGCGTTTGTAGGGGGGCTATGAAGTGGGCTACAATCACCCCAAAATTCACTGTACCCCCGCAACACTCTTTCCCCATGCTGCCACCACCACCCACCCCAAACACAGCCCTGGCCCAACCCCTCCCTCTCCCCCCACTGCTGGGAAGAGCCTGGCACTGCCTAGAGCCCCAGCCCTTCACCCTGTGCACAGATCTGGGGGGCACATGCCCCCATGCCTCCCCTAGGGATGTGCGCAGCAGAACGAGCCACCCCTGCGCCTCCCAGATGAACTACTTAGTTTCATAGTTGGTAGGGTCGGAAGGGACCTGAGC